GGAATGGACAGCAGTAGGCGGGTAGAATTGGCGGGAAAGTGGTGGAGAAACGGGCGGGAAGGGACAGGAAAGAGGGGTGGGGATGTGGAGGGTAGAAGCTGGCGGGAATGGACAGCAGTAGGCGGGTAGAATTGGCGGAAACGTGCGGGAAGGGGCAGGAAGAGGGGGGAGGGTGTGGAGGGAAGAAGCGGGCAGGAAGGGGTGGAGAAAGGTGTGTAAACTGGCGGGAATGGACAGCAGTAGATGCGGGTAGAATTGGCGGGAAAGGGTGGGAAAGGCGGGAAGGGAGAATGGTAAGGGCGGAAGACTTGGGCGGGAAGGCTGACGGGAGAGCGGGTGTCGGGTTTCAGCTTATCTTCTTTTTTTTGTTTATTTTTTATTTTTTATATTTTTTTAGATTTTTTTTGTCTGGTCCGATGGACCACGGATAAGATATTAAACTGATCAGAACAGATACTACACTTGATCTTAGCCAAAAGGCCTTTCCTCTTATTTTTCCCTCTCGTATTTTTTTTTTTATTTAATTTTTTTAGTATTTTTCGGTTGATGAACTGTTGACGTACTGTTTGACGATATATATTTTTTTAATGAAAACGATAAAATAAAAAAAATTATTTTATTTTTAAAATTTCATTGACGTTAGCCGCCGAAGGGGTACGAGTGAATATGGAAAAGAAAAAAGGAGCAGGTAGTCGTCCAAAGAATATGTTTGAACTCGTTTAAAAAAAAAAAAAAAAAAAAAAAAGAGTAAGCAGCTAGGCTACCAGCCGGGCCGCCCGGGTCCCGGGTGGCCAGCCCGTGCAAGGACCAGGGAATGTCCCAGCAAAAAAGAAAAAAAAAATCCAAAAAAATCCGGAAAAAAAGTATGTTATGCAGAAAAATAAACTGAACAACTTTTGCCTCAGGGTCACATCGAAATTCTTCACGAAATTCAAAATAAAAAATGAAAGTTTAAAATAATGTTTTTATTTTTATTTTTTTTAATGTTTTTGCCCCGGCCGGGCAAGTGACCCCGGGCCACTCTGGTAGCCTAGGTAAGCAGTGGGGAATCGTTTTTTTTTTTTTTTTTTTTTTTGGGAATCGTTTGGGTAAAATGACCGGCTGCAGATGAAAATTAAAAACCGAAGAGCGAATAAGCAGCAGCAGGGATTTATGTGAGTAAAAATAGAAAAAAAAAATTCACTTCTTTTTTCTTCGGTTTTTACGCTTCATGGGTTTGGAGACCTTTGCGATCCCTGAATCTGCAGTTCTTTGACGTTGTATTTCTGCCTTGGGCACTATTCAGTAGGGCTGATAAAGCTACTGTTTCTGGAAAAAAAAAAGAAAAAAAAAAGAGAAGGGGGAGAAGAAAATACGCTTAGAGGGGCTGTAGATGGACGTAGTAAAGAAAGCAGCGGGGGTCTCCTTGAGCTGGCCTGCGATAATAAGTTGCCGCCTATTTTTGGTAATACAAGCACACAATTCTTCCAAACAAAAAAAAAAAAAAAAACAAAAAAAAACCTAATAATAATAGTAATCAGGGTTACCGGCGTTCCGGACGGGCCGAACGCCCGAACGTACGGGACCCCTTCGGCCGTTCGGG